TTTCAAACTTAGTTCCATGATCTGACCGAATGTGGATAATTTGATTTCCACTAGTTTTCTGCACTTTCTTGGCGAATGACACAAATTCATCAAAGGTTTCATCCTTGCTAGATAGAAAAATCACCCAGGTAAATCTAGAAAAATCATCAATAATAAATAAAACATATTTCTTTCCACTTCTACTTTGAACACGCATGGGACCACACAAATCCATGTGTATGAGTTCCAATGGCTTTGTGGTGCTCACCAAGTTTTTACTTTTAACAGATGACCTGACTTGCTTGCCTCTCACACATGCATCACAGATATGTTGTACGAGGAACTTGACTGAGGGAAGCCCTATGACCAAGTTCCTTGCTCTAAGTTTATCCACGAGTGAGAAACTAGCATGTACAAAACGTTTATGCCATAATAAAGGATCATCATTAATAGCACTCAGGCATGTAAGGTTTTTCCTTGGGACAAAATTGAGATCCACAATATAAGTGTTCCCTTTTCTAGTTCCTTCAAGAACAACCCTTCCTGTTTTGTCATTAATGATGTTGCGTGAATTAGAAGTAAAACTTACATAGTTTCCTTTGTCACAAAATTGTGATATGCTCAGCAAATTGTGCATCAAACCCTCGACCAAAAGTACATTTTCAATTGAATGGGAACTTAAACTTCCAACTTTTCCTTTTCCAATGACTTCTCCTTTCTTGTTGTCTCCAAAGGTCACAGTTCCTCCAGAATAGGTCTCAAGTGAGAGGAATTTTGATTTGTCTCCTGTCATATGCTTTGAACAACCGCTGTCGAGGTACCACGTGTTGTTACCCCTCACTAGGACCTGCAAAAGAACTCATTGATTAGTTTCAGGAACCCAGGTTTCCTTGGGTTCCTTGGACGTTGAAGCAATATCAGATTTTCTAACCCAAACTTGCTTAACATTCTTACTAACAGATTATTCCTTCTTATAACAAGTATTCACCAAGTGACCTGTTTTCCCACAAAAGGAACATACTTTATAGCTAGGTAAATCAACATATTTCTTTTTACCTTTTTGCTTAGATCGAATGTATCCTAGTCCTTCAGTTCTTTTGGTTTGAGCATTCTCAATTCATTTAGGTACACCAAGCAGACCAGTGCTTCTTTCTTTTCGGATTGCAAGTTCCTTTTCTAAATTTGCCTTTTCAATTCTTAACTCATCAAGATTGTGTTTTAAGTTTTCAAAATCTTCATTAAATTTAGGCAGTGATTCAGAAGAGGAACTTGACGATTTAAAGTCAGTACTGGCAAGCTTGTATTGAGTCAGTTCTACATTAACCATAATATTTTCATACTTGAGTTTTTCATTCATTTCTTTTAGAAGAAGATTCTTATAAAAAAGATCAAAGAATTTGTCTTGAACATCAGTACGCTGGTTCTCAATCCAGGTACTGTGTTCCTTGCAGACTTTAAGAGCTTTTTCACATTCATTAAGCTTTTTAATATCAATTATCCAGTCATCTTCCATTTCTAAAATGAAATCAATAAGTACTTCTTTAGGAAGAGTTCTAAGATGATTTAGATCAGCACGTACCTCTTTAGCCAGTTCATCATTGTAGTCCTTTTCGTCACGTTTGGACATTAGACATAAATTGGCTGTTTCTTCTCCAGGTTGTTCCTCCTCATCATCACTCTCAGAATCTCCCCAAGCAGCAATCATAGCCTTCCTAATGTCTGTTTTGTTTTAAGGAGTTTGTTGCTCTTGTTTTGTTCCTTGGCCTTCTCTTTACCTTTCTCAGTTTCCCACAAGGGGCATTCACGAATGAAGTGATCTAGGGATCCACATTTGTGACATCCAGAATCGGATTTTGAGTTAAAGGAATTTTTGGTGAAGTTCCTTGTTCTATTATTTCGATTGAACATTCTTTTGAACCTTCTCACCAACATAGCCGCTTCTTCTTCATCTACCTCAGATTCTTCTTGATCACCAGCTTTGAGAGCTAAGCCTTTTCCTTTGTTCCCTTCACTATTTCTTGTTCCTAAGTGCAACTCATGAGTCATGAGGGAACCGGCAAGTTGCTCAATGTTGAATTTCGTGAAGTCCTTAGTTTCTTTTAGGGCAGTCACCTTGGCTCTACATCTTTCATCTTGAGGGAGGCTCCTTATAACTTTCCTGACTTGCTCATCAATAGGTATTTGCTTTCCAAGAGAAACAAGCTCATTAATAATGTTAGTGAACCTTGTTAACATTTCCTGGATAGTTTCTTTAGATTGCATTTCAAAACGTTCATATTTAGACATAAGCAGATCAATTTTAGAGTGTATCACTTCATTAGTTCCTTCATGTGTTACTTGTAGTAAATCCCAAATTTCTTTAGCATTTTTACAGCCCATAACACGATTGTGTTAATGGGGACCAAGGCCATAGTGAAGTAATTTAACAGCAAGTGCATTAATTTCCATTTTATCAAAATCATCCTTATCAAATTCAGACATGGGTTTAGGTACTACCTCATTTTCACCAACTGTTTTGGTGATTTCAAAATCACCAACTTCAATAACTCTCCAAACTTGGTAGTTGTCAGCTTTGTTAAAAATTTCCATCCTGTTCTTCCAATAGGTGTAGAACTTCCCATTGAACTTAGGAGGACGCTGCGTAGAGTAACCTTCTTCCAGTTTCTCATGATTGTTCATGTTGCTTCCAAGAACTTAACTTGTCAGGGTTTCCTGATTTCTTCGAGGAACAGACTTTGATACCAATTGTTGACTCGAATGAACAATACAAGAGGGGGGTGACTTGTATTGTAGAGGAATTAGGGTAATTTTTGCGGAATTTATAAAGGAACTCGAATAAAAACTAAAAGTGCACAGAGAAATTTTACGTGGAAAACTTCTTGGCCCTAATCAAGAAGAAAAATCACGACCACAAGGGATTTTAACTCAACTCTTAATAATAATAGGGCAAACAACCTATTACAAATTAAGACTCTAAAGTCAAGTTCCTCTATGAACTTAAGCTCCCTTCAACTAATCCCTCAATTAGTCGAACTCTAAAACTCTCTCTCTTTATCCTTGCTTCACTCAAAGCAATAAAACACTCTTAGAGTTTCCCCAAACTCTAACCCAATACAACTCAAAGATTAAACTCTAAATTGCTAAGTACAAAGACAGTCAAGGACTTAAGTGGATTATGACTCTTTTTAAAAGCTAAAATACTGTAATGCTCAAGTGTACTTTTTCCAACTGAAAACCGAGGCTATTTATAAAAGAGTTAGGCAGTTAAATTGTAGTTGCCTTAATCACCACTTAACCACAACTTCCTTAAAACAAGGAAGTGCAATTCGTGGGTGCTTGGGCAGCAAGCTGAGCACTTTACAAGGAAGTGGTTTACTGCTTCCTATTTTCTCTCAACTTCCTTGACCAAGTAAAACAGACGTGTTTAAAGAATATTTTCCAAATCAGATTTTCCAAAATAATAGGATAGAATTAAAACAGAAAATCATTTTAACTAACAAGATATTTTAACTCAAAAGATATTCTTCGAAATTAAATTAAAACAAGTTAAAATATGGAAAATAAAATCTTTATCAAATGAAATTAAATCCACTTAAATCCTATCAATTGACAATGTACTTAACATAATTACAAGTAGCCTAAAGTAAAGATAAAATACATTAGACCCCTTGATACTCTGAGAAGCTTCGACTCTAAAGCTTCAATTCCTCACTAAAGGAACTTTCCTTTGAAGCTTCAATTCTGGAGCTCCAGTTCCTTATATAAGGAACACGACTTGATTGACTTCTTTATCCTTCCATGGCTGGATTAGATCTTGTTCCATGCTCCCTTCTTACTCAAGAATTTCCTAGCATAAACCTGTCATAAATCAAAGCTAAAACCGAAAGTTAAACTTGTTATAGGTTTACTTAGGTTCCTTGAGTCATCATCAAAACATAAGGTCAACAGATATAGAGAACGACTAAATGAAAAGAAAATTGTGTTGCACATAGCAGCCATTTTTAGTAAATAACTAAATATTGCATAGATAATGAAACAAGTAATATAATGTCTCTTTACATGTTATTGTTTAGTAAAAACATTTCTATTATTGTTGCCAATTTATATTCATATATTATGTTATTGTTTAGTAAAAACATTACGATTATTGTTACCAATTCATTACTTGTATATTATATAGGAGTATATTAATACTATCAGAGCTGTTCATAACTTAAGTTTTATGCAGAACTTAATTAAGTACTATGCAGAGACTTTTAGAAAATAAAAAAATAAAAAAATTAAGAGAGTGAGAGAGAGAGAGAGATTGAGAGAGGTTTTTATAGGGAATTAAAATAGGTCTACAATTCCACACTAAGGGTCTATTCTGTTCAGTTTAATTTCAATTTAGTTTAGTTCAGTTCTAATCAGTTCAACTCAGTTTCTATTTTCGTTTTCTCATAAATAATTCATTTGAACTCTATTCAACCTCAATAAGTTTGGTTCAGTTAAATTATTTTCAGTAAATTAAAACAATCCCTAAAGTACTCCATATTAAACTAAGGAGAGAGAGACACGAAAGACTAGGAAACGAAAAAGAACAATCAATAAATGGGCATAGCACAGGTATGAAATACTACTAATTGGTAGCCTTTAGTTATTGCATTTTCTATTTGGTGGACCTTTTAGATTTGCGAAACTCTAGCGCGCTATATAATCTTCATTAGAATAGCTATCCACAATTTTATAGCTCATTGCTTAACTTTTTTTTTTTTTTAAGGAAAGCTCATTGCTTAACCTTGATGACTGCAATTACTAATTTAACCATTAGCTAACCACACGTACACCACTATCTAACTACCTAAGCTAAGCCACCAAACTACCCCATTGTTGTTAATTCCACGTCCAACTACCACAACCAGCACCACTACTGCCTAGCCGACACCACCACCTCTACTCATGCACAAAACTCATCCTTTCACCCACCAACCATAAGCTAACAACTCCACCACTCAAATTTTACACACTACTTTGGTCTACAGGTATGATGTGCTCCTTGACGTGAATGTGAGAGGAATTTCAAGACTTCTCACGTATGCAATGGATTGCAAGAAACTCCTACTTTTTTTTACATGTTTCAACCGGTATGAAAATCCAATGAAAATTTTCTTCTGTTTTTTAATACATGTATTCCTTTATTTCGTACATCATGCATGTTAATCATCAAAGCTAGGAATGGCAACGGATCAGATTCGGCGAAAACGAATCCGACCCAACTCGTAATTTTCGGAGACCCTTGAAATAATCCTTTTTTTTTTTTGTAATTTCATATACCTATAATGGCTTATATTGTCATACCAAATAAAGTTTAAACATAACGTATTTAAATTCTAAACTAAGTTGCATAACAAAATTTGCTACAAAAAAGCAAACAATTGTCCCAATGTATAAAGCATATGCTCATACTGATGGAATCGGACTCCGTCGGACTTTGCGTACGATCCATGTCCAATCCGCCTCCATTTCAGATTCAGATTTATTTTATAGGATTTGCATTCGAACTAATTTTAAACGGATCCGGGAAGATCGAATCGGATTCGAATCGAACTCAGATTAAATTGTCATCACTAATCAAAGTATAATTTTGACCATTAATGTATAGAATAGCCTATCCTTCTATCCAAATATATATCTCAATGATAAAGCATTAAAAATAATAATAGTATTTTTGATTAAAAAGATACATTGAGAGTGTTTTTCAAAAAAAAAAAAAAAAAGAAAGAAAGATATATTGAGAGTTTGAGACTATCCAACAATATTTCACACACTCCTTCCATTTTCTTTTGTTTTTTTACGTTTTCATTTAAGATGTTCCTTTTTAATTTGTATATAAATTTAGGATTTTTTCTTTTTAAATTATTAATTAATTTGGAATAAAAGTACCCTTACTTTACAATTTAAATACTCAACTACCCTCCACTTTTACGTGCAATTGTAAAACCAAATTTTCTAACTATATATTGCAAGTAATGGAGAAAAGTACTTTGTACAACACAATTCCTAGAATGATGTCATGATTTAGGTTTTGATGGATCTTTTAGCGAGACATGTGCCAATCAAATGATATTTTTGTTTTGGACAAAATATTAAAATTCTTAGGAAATTATGTCAAGAATTACCCTAAAGATAGAATTATTTGTGAATAGCTACCTATTTTTTTTATTCGTTAAGAACTACCCAGAAGTTAAGAAAATTTCTAGTAGCACAACACATTAATGTTTTCTGTCCAAAAAAACGTTAATGGGGCCCACTTTTTCACTTCTCCCACTTAATTATCTCCCCTAATTACCTTCTCTCTCATCCCTACTTAACTTCCCCTAAACCCTAGAAATCGAAACACCCAAATTTAGACATCCTACCAATCACAATGGCCAATTAGAAATCATACCAATTACAACGGTCAATTAGTAATTAAAATGCAATTGAATTCAATCTCAAAGTCAAAATAACCGAAATCTAGAACTTAGTTGAACCCCTAAACCCTAGAAATCAAAACCCCTAAATTTATTTGAACCCATAAAGCTTAATCCAAAACACAAACTTACACCTAATTATGTTAATTGCGTTCAATTAAAACTTGTAAACAAATACAATAAACAATGAATTAAAAGGAAAGTAAGAAACATTACTTGAATAATTGAGAATTTGTGTTCAATTGATTGAGAATGTTCTCTTGGATTTTTTGAGAGTGAATGGAGGGGAAGTTAATTAGGGAGGAGAAAGAAGGTAATTAGGGGAGTTATTTAAGTGGGAAAAGTGAAAAAAGTGGACCCAATAACGTCTTTATTGGACGGAAAACGTTTATGGGTAGTGCTACCCAAACATTTTGTAACTTCTGGATAGTTCCAAACAAATAAAAAAATGGGTAGTTGTTCACATATGAGCCTATATTTAAGGTAATTCTAGTCAAAATTTCCAAATTTGTATTTACAAATTTCTTCTGTAGCTATGTGATGGCTAAGTTTAAGCAATAACTATTACTCTATATTATTTGAATTTATGAAACATGAAATAAGGGTTATTAAAATATAAATTATTATTAAATTAAGTTTTGACAAAAGGTAACATAAGATAACTAGGTAAGTTTAGATAAGTGAAAGAAATGGCCATGACATTTTTATAAAAATTGTCCTTTTCTAAGAACCAATTGTATTACTTTCTTTAACGCCCAACACTCCTTACTACTGAATGTCTACTAGAGAGCACATGAGCGAGAAAGAGTAACATGCATGGTAGAAAAGGTGAAATAGACGATAACCAGCAAAACCCACCCCCCCTCCGCCGACATGGTTGACCAACGCACTAGCAAGATCTAACAAGAAAACAAAGAGTAAAATCACTCATTTGATTTTCAACCGAGAAGAGAACCAGGAGGTTAATCCAAACACTACTGCAGTGGAGGTGGATATTTGAGACTTTGCACAGGGTCGGCAAGGGAATACACCTGTCCTTGTGGGAGGAATACAACAACAAAATCCACCAACCCTAGGTACTACAACCAAGTCTTTTAGAAATCAGTTTGTTGGTTGATTAATTCAAACTTAGTTGGAGTATTTTTAGGAATATTGTTTTTGGTTTTGTACTTGGTCAAAGTGAGTGTCTTGGTTAAGTAATATTATTTCTTAGTGGAGCATTAGTTATTTAGTCACGTAACTTATGTTTGTTCAGTTAGTAGGATAATGTGTTTAGTGGGCTTGAAATTAGGAGGTAGTTGTGCTTGACTTTTTAGTCCTATTTAAATCCTTGTAAGTTTGGTCTTTTGTATGCAGAGTATTAATCGAATAGTATGAGTTTCAATTTCTAAGTCTTATCTCTTGTCTTTCATTGTTATCTTTTATTGTTCTATCTTATAATATTTTTCTAAGTATCAGCTTCAACACAGTTTGCATCTCATGTTGATCTGGGTAATCACATCGATTCGGAGGAAGATGATGTATCTGATGATGACGAAGCCCTGAAAGGAATAGAGGATAGTGATAGGTGCCCTATCATTTTACTTACTAATGAGGAGACGAGGGCTATGCGCAAGCCTTAGAAGCATACTCTGATAATTTGGATGTTCGATGGTAGCCTAAGCTATATGGGACTAATGAAACGCCTCAAGCGTAAATGGAAATTGAAAGGAGAGTTATTCCTAACGGATATTGGATGCAAGTATTTCATTGCTCGTTTCAATATTGTGGATGACTACAATTATGTTCTTATGCAAGGTCCATGGCTTATTGACGGCAAGTATCGATCTCACAATAAGGAAATGGATTGTAAATTTCATCCCGAAAGACAGTGGCGGATCCAGAATTTTCGAACTTATGAGTCACCATCAATAATTAATCACTTGTTTCAATCCAAAAATTATATAAAAAAAATTATATTTCACCAAAATGATTTCAATCCAAAAATAGGATATAAAATACATATTATAAAACTATTACATTAAACTAAATTTATGATTTTTTTTACTTAAAAACAAGAATTATTAAAAAAAAAGTTAGATAACTTAAGAGACTCGTTATGAAATATAACAAGTGTCTTTAATGAAATATGAAAGCAGCGCAAAAAATTATTCTAACAATGGCTGACAAAAAGAGACCTATTATCTAGATAACAGGTCTCTAATGACGTGGTGGCTATAGCTGCAACAAAGAGACCACATATATGATATTTTAATAGGGGGTCTCTTTGATATTTAAAAAACTGACTAATCTCAAATAGAAGCAACAAAGAGATCGCCTATATGTAATAGGCGATCTCTTAGATTTTCTTTCTTTTTTTGTGTGCTGGTGAGTCACGTGACTCACTGTGCACCTTAATAGATCCGCCCCTCCCGGAAGAGGCCTCCATCAATGTACTAATTGTGTGGTTTAGGATCCCTAATCTATCTGTTGAGTAATTTGATAAAGCGTTCTTCAAGAAGGTTGGTGCAAATTTTGGCAAAGTGTTGAGATTGATCTCTCTAAACCCTTGTTAGCAAAAATCAGGCTAAAAGGGAAAATTTGGAGAATTCAATATGAAGGGATTAAAATGCTTTGTTACAAATATGGAAAACTTGGTCATGTTGAAGATCAATGTGCCTCAAAACATCCATTTGATAACATTATTATTGATAATGTCAATAGTCGTTTAGAAGTCATCGAAGAACATAATAGAGAACCTCCTGCTAAACTAGAAGACATGGATGATTTTGGGGATTGGATGTTGGTGAAAAAACGGGCCGCAAGAGAAACTAGAGACTGGAAAAAATGGGTCGGGTCAAGGAAAAGAAGGTCAGAATTTGAACAAAGATAATAGTCAACACTTGCCAAGAAATGCTACTAAATCTATGGGGGCATTGAAGCAAATAAATCAAGTTTTGATATCCTTGATTTTCAAGGGGTAATAGAAGATAATAATTTGACAAATTCTTTGGCAAATGATAATCATGGACATGCTATTAATTTGGGAACAGGGGAAACTTCAAAATATTTGAATAAATCCTCTTCTATTTAAGAGGGAAATATTCCTACAATAAATCTTGGTGATCAATCCAAAAACCAATTCGAAATTTTACCAAAAGTTAGCTCCTTTAATTTTGGAAAAACTACTCAAGATATTAGAGGTGAAGGCAAGACAAATAACAAGAAAAAAATATTTTGCTAAAGCTACTAAAATAGCAACGCAAAGAAGTAAACTTCTTGGGCCAACTACAAATGTGAATTTTCCGAAATATCTAGTACAATCTTTTATTTCCAAAGTTAAACTTGGGAAGGAAAATTCAATATTTGATCTCTAATGCTTATGTTAGTTCTGTACCATCTACCTATTTTAATGGAAGATACGATTCCAAATTCAGCACCAAATTCTTTGCCTATTTCATGCATGGTGTGGAATGTGCAAGGGGCCAGTAGTCGCACTTTTATTAGTGCTTTGTGTGAAGTAATAATAAACCATAAACCTAATTTTTTGTACTTGTTGAAAATCATATGGTGGGGGAAACAAGCTAAAAGAATTTCTACCATCTTAGGATATGTGGGTCACACTAGAGTGGATGCACAAGGATTTAGTGGGGGAATTTGGGTGTACTTGAAGCTCGACCTTGTGACAGTCGAGCTAATCTTACAACATAATCAGCATAGTACTATGGATACTAGACGAGTTGGGGGTGATCCATGGTATTTTACTGCAGTTTATGCAAAATCAGATCGGACAAAAAGAAGTTATTTATAGCGTGAACTAAAAGATTTTGCAGCGACTCATAACAAACCATGGATGGTAGCTAGTGATTTCAACGATACTCATGAGCGTAGTGCTAGTTGTCCTGAAACCTCTAGGTGAGTGGCTCGTTTCAATGAATGGATGGAGGATATGAACTTGTTAGAGATTGAATTCAGTGGCCCGAATCACACTTGGCTAGAGGCAACTCCATTGCTACTCGTACTAGTGCTTGTCTTGATAGGGCATTATGTTATGGGGAATGGAGTCTTCATTTTACAATTGTTGAGGCTAAGAATTTACATGCGGTCCAATCGAATCATTTTCCTCTTCTGATTGCTCTGAATGGTTTTGCACCAATTTCATTTATTAATAAATCGTTCAAATTCCAGCCAACATGGTTGTCTCACGAGCATTTTTGTGGCTTTATTCAAGAGAAATGGGATAAGAGCACCCCCTAGTACCTTTACTTAAGAAAGTTAGTGATGATTTGCAAGAATGGAATAAAATGGTATTCCATAATATTTTTCAAAAAAAGAGAAATTTGCTAGCACGAATTGCTAATGTCCAAAAGTGTCTATCCGAAAAAAATTCAAGGGATCTTATTAAGCTTGAAGCTAAACTCCGTAAAGAACTTGATGAGGTTCCAGAGCAGGAGGAGTTACTTTGGTATCAAAAGTTGAGGGTTGAATGGATTCAAGACGGGGATCATAATACCTCTTTCCATTTGAGCACGATTGCTAGATGTTGAAGGAATAACATCACTGTCATTAAAGAGAGTGCTAATGGTGAATGGATTTATGTAAAAGAGCGTATACAAGAAAATATAGTCTCTTATTTTAAAAATTTATGCAAGGATGAGGTGCAGCACAGCCATGGTCCAATGCCAATAGACATCTTTCCAAAATTCACGAATAGAATTTGGATATGTTATCTCGACCCTTTGCAAAATGTGAAATAGTTTAGGATATGTTTTCAGTCTTTGTTCTTCCAAAAACATTGGGATTTAGTTGCGAACGATGTTTACAAAGTGGCGCTTGATGCTTTAAATGGGAAGGGTCTCTCGGAAAACTTGAATGATACTTCTATAGTACTTATTCCAAAAGTTGATACCCCAGAGCTTGCAACTCAATATCAACCTATTAGCCTATGTAATGTGGCTTACAAAATTACTACGAAGGCTATTGTCAACCGTATTAAACCAACTATGCCACACTTAACATTTTGTACTCAGACAAGTTTTGTTCCTGGGAGACAAATCTATCACAGATAATATTGTGATTGTTCAAGAGGTCATTTATACAATGCAGAATAAGAAAGGAGGAAAGGGTCTTATGGCGATTAAAATTGACTTTGAAAAATCGTATGATCGCCTTAAGTGGGAGTTCATTTGTGATACATTGTATGAAATTTGCTTCCCTATCCTTATAAACGAACTTATAATGGAATGTATTTCTACTTCAACGATGCGTGTTCTACGGAATGGTGAACCGACCCAATCTTTCAAACAGGGGTGTGGCATTCGCCAAGGCGATCCATTATCTCCATATTTATTTGTTTTGTGTATGAAGAGGTTAAATCAATTAATTGGAGAGTACGTTATGGAGAATCAAAGGAAGCCGATCATACGAGCTGGAATGATCCCAAGCTCTTTAACTTATGTTTCGCGGATGATATAATTCTTTTTCGCATAGGCAACACTCGAACAAATTGTGGTTATTCAAGAGTTCTTAGCTCGTTTCAATAGTGCATCGGGGCAGAAGGTGAGCTATCCTAAGTCTCGTGTTTATTTCTCCCAAAATATGTGCTTGAATGATAAAGTTGGTGTTTTCCATGCGTTGGGGATTGATGAAACTGAGGATCTGGGCACATACATTGGTATGCCTATGCTACTCTCAAAAGTAGAGTCACTCGTGACACTTTTGCGTATTTATGTGAGAAAATTGATCGACGGCTTGCACGGTGGATGTCTAAATACATATTACTAGCGGGTCGCATCACCTTAGCAAAAACAACCTTGACTACTATGAGCTCTTATGCAATACAGACTGTAAAGATCCTAAGAACTATTTGTGATGACATTTATAAAAGGACTAGGAGATTGATTTGGGGGTGGTGATGAAGAGAACCGGTGCATCCACCTCCTCTCTTGGGACTTGGGAGTTAAAAAAACCGAAGGAACAAGGTGGGCTAGGAATAAGATCCTCACGGCAAACTAATGTAGCGTTCTTAGCCAAATTAGGTTGGCGTGTTTTGAAGGAACCCAATGCCCTATGTTCTCGTGTACTTAGAGCGAAATACTGCAAAGGGAGATGTGATATTGATATGTTTGAAGCTCTTAGAGCGAAATACTGCAAAGGGAGATGTGATATTGATATGTTTGAAGCTAAGTCAAACATGTCAAATGTTTGGAGGGGCATTTCCAAAAATACTAAGCTGATTTGTGCAGGTTCTTGAGTAGCTATTAGGAATGGGGCTACAACTCTGTTTTGGGACCATAACAGGGCTATGCCTAGTCCACTTCGAGCTACTACTATTGCTGCTATCCCCCCTCAGCTTGACAGAGCAATAGTGGCAGAGTTATAGGATGTCTAAAATGGCTGAAAATGAGACTTGTTTGCCGAATTGTTACCTGCTAATGTTCTAAAATTAATTGAAGCTCATGCTTTGCGTAATGATTCGAA